TTGTCGACAATAACAACAAAAAAGACTGTGTGAAAATTCAAATTTGTTATTTTATGCTTTAGTCAGAAATGTCTGAACCAACAGAGAGAGGAAAGGGGGGCAAGACTGGACTGAGTGTTTGCAAGAAACCACAGAAAATTGTGGYTATTACACGCCTTCAGGCCCAACAAATGTGTAAAAATAGATATTGTTGAAGGTGGAACAGCACTTATGCTGGAACAGAGACCTGAAAAGCTYCAGTCTACTTTAATTGATGATTTAAAACACAGTGACAGGCATCACTTTCAACAAAGAAACCAAATAAACAGACTGTTAAAACTGCAACCGGTAAAGTCAGGAATTGTTTGAAAAAGAAGCAGATCCCTCTAAATAATCCACAATTTGTAGCTCCTGCCTTGTGACATTTAAACCTGATTAAACTAACTAACAGTGACGGGACTGATTGTGCCACGTTAATCTAAAATTTAYGGAATTCACAGGAAGGTGTTTGAAAAAATATCCTGAAAAGAAGCGTCATGAGTGTCATAATCCTTGTGTTTTACGTTTTGACTTGTTTTAATTTTTCATTGTTTTTCRGTATCTTCTTGTGTTGATTGTTTCACCTTCAGTCAGTATCTGTGTTTGCTTAAGTCAGCCTCTCACACCTGTTGCCAATCCCCAATCAGCTCAGCTGCCTCCATCTCCTCATCAACCTCTCCTCTATAGGCTCAGCTTCTCTCTACCTTCACATCACTTCTGCAATGCTGGATTTTCATGTCACAAGTCAGTGTTTCTCCTTGCTTCCTGTGATTTTTGTTGTCTGTTTGCTGCCATGTTAAGAGTTTTTGTTTTATACGTTTAATAATCAAGTTTTACTTTTTGAGATCCTTGAGTCCAATCTGCATTTTTGGTCCAAACCATCCTGAAAACCTGATATTGAGGAAGCTAAAACAAAGTCATTTTTCCTTTTTTTAATTAATTTATTTTTTATTATTGTGAACAAAAATATTTGCACTTTGGACCATAATTCTTCTGTACAATAAGTTTGGTGATTTTTATGAGCGACTTTTATATTGTTTTATTCAGGTGTTCAACAGATTTCAGTGTTTTGTTGTAATGTTACAGTAAACATGGATTACATTCAGGATGGTAAAGTATCAATTAGAGCTAATTGTTTGTGGATCAAACTCTTTTGTATCTCCTTTAACACTCCTGTTTGGTCATTCCTTACTTTTTGTGGATAATGATCATCACTTATGTTCTATTTTCTTAAAAAAACATTACTAATTCAAATGTCAGTTTTTATGGCTTGTGGACCTCACTAATATGAGATCATACAATGTAATTTTGAGTAATAAAAACCCCTGATATACTGTATGGATAATTTGGACTCTAACATGATCACAGATGAAACATGTTGTGCTGTTTATCACCATTAKCGTGTTTAACAAGAATTGTTTCTATTGATGTTTTTGAAATGTGTTCAATGGAACCCAGGTTTCACCTGATAATATTTCCAGCTGAGAGTTGACATTTCCTTTCAGGCTGAGATGGAAACTAAAATACCGTGTGTTCTCATATTTGGAACTGGATATACCTCAGCAGAGTCCTCTTCCTCATCATTACCAAGCTGTTTCATGTTAGTTGTCTTTTGGTCTGGACCTCGGTTAACAATCATGATCACAAATATAATTGAGAGTGGCGGTGACATTGTTTGGTCAATGTGCTGCCCTGGAATGAAATGTGTGCAAGGCTCCAAAAAAATAAAAAAACAAAATAAAGATAAACACGTTTAGTGCTGCGGGAAAAGGTTTACATATGATTAAATGAATGCTTGTAAGAATACCAACAGGTCAAGTTTCTGAAAAAGATTTGCCATCAGAACTGGAAGCAGAGCGAGTTTTGTGTTGGAGGGTCCACTCAAAACTGTATTTGACGACCATGAAAGGAATTATGTCCATTTATAAAGTAAAAGTTCACAAATATAATGACTTGTGCATTCATTTCTAATGATCAGCTTTTCACTAATAACAGTTGTACAAAGGTAAAATAAATCAAACTGAATAAAATTWGGATGTTTTCTGCTCAGATGAGAGAGAAAAAACAGATTTTAAGTAAATATGGTCCAGCTGGTCAAATATGATTGCTTCTCATTGTTTTATATGACTACGGTGAAAAATAAATGCATGGCTAATATTTTAAAACATTCAAAAAGTGTTTTCATGCAAGAAAAAAACCCCTAAAATTTGCAATTAAAAACCTATAATTTCTTAACATTTATTGATAGAACCAGTACAACAAAACACAGCTAYTTCTTTACTAAAAACTCTAACTTTGCTCTAGTTTAGGGGTGACCGGGGACAGTAGCAACAAGGGATGGTTGCAACATGTCATTTTTCTCCAAACAGAAACAAGCTAGAGTGATGATACTCACACTGTGCATGCTCAGTTAGATGCCCCACCTTGCAAAGAAAAAGTAAGCAGATTCAAAAACTGCTCCAGGATTTATTTGGGAAAAAAACTGTTTTTGAGGTACCAAAGTAATTTTTTTTGCCTAGCTTTATTTTTGTGATACTGTTGTCACTGTTTTTGTGATCCAGCTCAACAAGTGATATGTTTACTTTTAACTAATASAGTTAACATATCCAGATCATCTCATTTAGCAAATCATGGCTTATCATGCTGACAGGAAGGGCGACTGTCCCCATRCCATAAATCCATATAAAAACAGAGCACACACTGATGAAATTAAGATGTTGAAATTGAGTYTACACTWAAAARGGTATTGGGTATTCATGACAATTTTATAGTTTAAAACATAAAAGTGTTTAAGATGTATTTTCTGCAGTTGTTGTTKTCAACAATGGTTTTAAAATCCCAGTWTCTTTCAATGTAAATTTTGCATAATGTAGTCGTACAGTGACAACAGGCAAAACAAAAGTTAATTGTCTCACAAATTGTTCTATTATCCTTGTCTCAAAAAGTCAACTGTATTTTATATCAGTCTTTGACATCTGTATATAAGATCTACTCATCAAGGCAAATCGATATT